TGGATTATATTTAGCTGTAAAATGGACTACAATAATTATAAGGCCGACGGAGTGCAGGAATATTGGGCAAATGTCCCTAGTCAAAATCCTAATTTAAAAGCGAAATCTTCCAATATGGATTTGGACATAAGGGGGCTTATAACTTATTGTAGTGTTGTATAATATAGTCGGCCTCGCACGACTATAGCCTTTGCTTACTTGTTGAATTATATCTCCATTAATAAAAGAGCAAACTAATCGACTGACTTAAAGATTCATCAAAGCTCTGACGAAAAGGCTAGAATCTTAAAATTTTATGTGAGAGCCACTCTTGGTCCGAAGATGTCAGATAGGGCTGGGTTTATGGAAATTCGTACTGAAAATTACTAAAAGGTACTGAAGTGTATGATGAATGGCCATTCGCACTATAAAGTACAAAAATGTAGTACATTCATGTGAACGGTTCCAGTTAAAAACTTGAAATATGGAATGAGAATCAAGGTTGAGACGTTGGTTCGATATGAGGAGATTGTTTTGGAAGTGTGTACTTATGTATACAAAAAGTACTAAATTTGGTACATTTTGAATTTGGAGGAACAGATGGAGCTGGAATCCGCAAATTGCAAATCAACATTATTGGCGGGATTCCGAAATATGTACTTATTTGTACGAAAAGTACTAAAAAGTGTTTTAATTGGTACAATTTGAATTTTGGCAGAACCCATAGAGTTAGAATCCTGAAATTTGGAAATTAGATTACTATAGCATTGTAGGATTGCAGTATGCAGGAAATTTTGGAAATTTATACTAACGTGTACTAAATAGTACTAAATTGGGACAATTTTAATTTTGGGAGAACCGGCAGTAATGGATTTCTGAAATTTTATTATAAAATTTCCATTGGATTGTATGATGTTGGTAGTTTTGAAAATTCGTACTTATATGTACTAAATTTGTTACAAATTGAAATTTTGGTGAATCAATAGAGCTCGAATTTTTAAATTTGGATATAATGCTTCTATGGGATTGCAAGATTGAGGTTAGAGGAACTGTTAGAAATCTGGAGCGTAGAATTGGGGTATGTAGGAGGTTTTGAAAATTCTTACATATGTGTGCTAAATTTGGTACAATTTAAATTTTGGAAGAACAGGTAGATATTAAATATTGAAAATTGTTAATAATTTTTTTATTGGATTGTTTAATGTACTTGGTTATGGGAATTTTGTACTTATATGAACTAAAATGTACTAAATTTAATACAATATGATTTTGGGTGAACCGCTAGACCTGTAATATAAAAAAATAAGATAATAAGTTTGGTATTGGGTAAAGGGATATAGCTGAAATCCTGAAATTTGAGGTAGAGGTATGTGATCGTGTTTGGAATTGAGATATGTCGGTTGCATTGGAAATGTGTAGTAACTTGGTGTTAGTTGAAATTTGATTTTTAGTTGGTATTTGAGTTGAGATTTGAAGGTGGATTTGAAAATGCATGTATCAGTTTTTCGAAAAGTACTAAATTGAAATAAATTTTATATTTTGCTAACTGTTGGTGTCTACGATTGAGATATGAACAATTTTGCAAAATAAGTACTAAACTGGTACGAAAAGCACAAAATGGCACTATTTTTGGATTATTTTTTTGTTCTCTAGGATGGAGAGATTGTTTTGGAAATTCTGAAATTTGATATTGAGATTATTGATGTCCGTCAAGATAAATTTAAATTTAATTAGCAAAGACACAAACCAAGGTGATTTTTTCTCCGGTTCGCAAAGGGTTAATAAAGAGAGAGAGAGAAAGAGATAGAAAGAGAGAGGGAGTAGTAAACTGTGAAACCCTTAACTCTTCTTTTAAACCGAGAATAAAATATTTAAAAATGAAGCGGTGTCAAAGCTGGGCACAAATGAAAGGTCTCGAGGAGTACTTTCCGAATATATGGACCTTATGATCAAAAAAAATTTCAGACTTAGGAATTTTTTGAATTTTCTGAAGAATTATCAATTTTAGGGAAATTGCAAATAAAAGGGTCCACAGGACATAAAATTGAAAATAAAGCGGTGTCGAGGCTGGGCACAAATGAAAGGTCCCGAGGAGTACTTTTCGAATATGTGGACCTTATAGTCAAAAAGAATTTCAGACTTAGGAATTTTTTAATTTTCTGAAGAGTTATCGCTCAATTTTAGGGAAATTGCAGATAAAAGATTCCACAGAACAGAAACTAAAAATGAAGCGGTGTCGAGGTTGGGCACAAATGAAAGGTCTCGAGTAGTACTTTCCGAATATATGAACCTTATAGTCAAAAAGAATTTCAGACTTAGGAATTTTTTGAATTTTCTGAAGAATTATCAATTTTAGGGAAATTGCAGATAAAAGGGTCCACAGAACATAAACTGAAAATAAAGCGGTGTCAAAGCTGGGCACAAATGAAAGGTCTCGAGGAGTACTTTCCGAATATATGGACCTTATAGTCAAAAAAAAATTTTCGGACTTAGGAATTTTTTGAATTTTCTGAAGAATTATCTCTCAGTTTTAAGGAAATTGCAGATAGAAGGGTCCAGAGAACAGAAACTAAAAATGAAGCGGTGTCGAGGCTGGGCACAAATGACCGAAAAAATGAGCTGAACATATCACAATATTCCATTCGGCAAAGATTGAAAAATGAGTTCGGAGTAAAACCATTGAAATTCCAAAAAGTGCAATAACTTACACCGCAACAGAAAGAAAATAGACTCAAAAGAGCTAAAGATTTGCTTCCCGTGGCCGAAAGTGTTGAAGTGCCGAATTTGGTTTTCTCCGATGAGAAAACATTTGTTGTCCAGCAGTGTGTTAACAAACAAAATGATCTTTTTTTTGCCAAAGAGGTCAGCTGAAAATGTGCACTTTAGGTTGGTCAACAGAACTCAAGCGCCGGCTATGGTGATGATGTGGGCCGCCATAACAGCCGATTGTCGCTCTCCGCTCGTATTTATCGACCGTGGCATCAGAATAAATGCCAAATTTTATCGCGAAAATATTCTGGAAGGGCACGCAAACATTTTGTCCGCAGACCTTGGACATTCCAACAGGACTCAGCACCATCGCACTCGACACGCGCCACCCAAGAATGGTTAAAAATAGGGTCCTCTTTTCATTTCCAGCTCACAATGTCCAGAAAAATCTGGATGGACTGTTGTGTTTGGAGTATTTTGGAAAGCAAGGTTGGCACTAAAAAATACCTCAGTCAAGCGCTTTGCCGGGAATGGGCCAAAATACCGCAGAGCAACATTCGGGTAGCGTATGACGGTTTCATTGGCCGTTTGAAGGCCATAATTCATGCCAAAGGTGACCAATTCGAACAAATCTAAACTTATTCTACACTTTGATTCTATATCCGACTTTTTTTTTCATTCAATAAGATTTAAAAAAAATTAAAAACTATGGCGTTTGACTTTGTTGTTTTTTTTTGTCTCACCCTGTAGAAATGTTAAAATTTGAACGTATATAATTATTTTACTGCAGACATTTAGATGTCACTTAGGAGAATTTTGATGTTGGAAAATTGTACTCATTGGGAGTCGTAAATGGAACATGGGGGAACTTCAATACCATCATCTTAGGAGTACGCGACATGTGTCCGTTTCATTAATTTAACTCTTTAAAAGATATGGAAGGAGAAGCTTACAAGAGCTATTAGATTGGCCTCTATGCCAGGATTTCCGAACAAAGTATAGGTCTATCGTATAAATTAGAAATCAGAAATAATCATTAAAAACTTAAGCGACGGTTCAGCCAGTTACTTCTAGAAATTACATAAAAAGCAATAATAATACAACTGAGGCAACATTGTGATATTTTAATGTAAAATATGAAAAATATATCATTTTGAGGAGCGTCCTCATCCTCATATATCCCCTGCGAAAGTATGCAATTGCCGACAAAAACACTGATACTTTCTCATTTTTTATAAGACTCTAAAACCCTACCTTACTCGTATTTAATCTATTTTCAAAGCAGTTCCCAGTTCCATTTAAATTAAATAAAATTCAATGTGGCAATGACCTTTCCCAAAAAAAGAACAAAAAAAAAAAACTAAAAACAAGCAAAGGACTAGCTCTGCATACCAGTGCAAAAAAAGCAACAAAATAAAGGATTTGCATTGCTATTTCTACAAAAACAAAAGCATCACAATTTTGATGTTTTCGTTCACATAGCTTTGAAGCAGCTTACCAATCCTTCTCTCTCTCAAATGAAAGGATGATTGCAGGCATTCCATTCAAGGACTTTGTTTGTAATAAACACAAGAAAATGAAAACACACACAAAGGTACAAAATTTCAAAACGACGACCCACCACAACAATAACAAGAACTAACGTGAATGCTAACAGGTGAGGAAAACAAGTGAGCATACAGATGGAAAATGAACAGTGCATGCACACACACACACACACACACCGGGAGAGAGAGAGAGTGAGCGGCAGAAAACAAGAAATGTAAACAAAATAAGCACACTTTGATGATAAACAACACAAATAAAACAAAACCGAAAATCATATTTCAGGATAACAGCAACAAAACATTTTTGTTTATGATTACCCAACAAATCTAGCCACCAATCAAGCCACACCACCACCACCAGCCAGTCAGTCAGACAGACAGACAGACAGACATTCCATGAAAGAAAATAAGAAAACATTGTCCAGTGGTCCCAATGCTCAATGAATGCGAACAACATCCCAATATCAAGGACAATCATCATAACAAGGAGCAAACACACTGAGAAAACTTGAGAGAGAGAGGGTTAATTCAGAATGTGGAGAGTAGCGGAATGAATTTTCGGATAATAGAGAGATGGAGAGAGCGTAAGCTTTATCCGTTGTTACAGCGCCGACTCAGTTCTGCTGGCCGGGAGAAATGAACACCCGTCAAATGGCCATGTCGAGTCGCAAGGAATGCAACAATGTTCCAGCAAGGATATAGCCAGCCAGCCAGCAAGGATAACACAAAATGAACAAATATTTAAACTGGTGCCCAACGAAACTGAAGATTTAGTCTACAGCCAAACGTACTACCGTCAAGAACGAAACTTTTAACCAGTCGAAAAGAGAGAACGCGCTAAACGGTTGTAACACAGAGACCCCATTGGTGCCCGCACAAGCCAGGGAATAAACGAAGTGTCCGTTTACACGGGACAAAGTGACTGGTAGTAAAGTGAACAGTGGAAAACATACAAATAAAACGAAATTAAAGTGAAAAAGAAGTTGAAAACTTAATAGAATATCTATCAAGGAGTCTAAAATTATCTAACAATATTTTCAAATAAAATCAGCCTAACATTAACCTGGATATAATCGACAAATAATTGAAACTCCCCTCACATGGATTTATTCAATGTTCCCTTTAAGTTTATGGCACATTTTTGTCCTGTTTTGCCAACGCCAAAGGGATTACCTTAGAGATTTACAATTTCAATATTTGTGTGCATAAGTGTTTGTATTGGCATTCGTCTTCGCCGGGAATAAACAGTTTATGTTAAGGAATTTCCCTTTACACTGACGCACATTCGCTACGACAAGGGGAACAACAAGAATTGTTGTGGGAATTAAGACCCGAATAAAAAAAAAGTTTTATGTTTTTTTTTCGAAGTCTAAAAATAAAATTTGATTGTGTGCCAAAGTTTTGTGTTAATTGCCAAAGTAAATCCCAAAGATAATACCATCAATACAAATAAAAATTTATTTACAATTTAATGAAATATTGGGAAATAAACAAGTCAGGTTATAAAGGGTAAACCAATTAAAATTGAAAAAAAAAAAACAGATATATAAAAATTGAAAACTAAAATTAATAACAAAAGCAAAAACCATATAGAATTGATTTGAATCATCAAAACTAAATAATTTGAAAATATTTTTGAAATAAATATTATATGTGCCAAATGTAAAGGATGCCTGTAAAGGAAATAATTTAGGGTAAGTAAACAAACGAGAAATGTTGAAATTTTTTTTATCGGATTTTATCACCCGCACTAAAATATACCGGCATCTTTTCAACCCATGCACAGTTGTCCACAACCGTGACAAAAATAAACCAGTAAAGAAAGTCTTAAAATCGGGCGGGGCCGACTTTATGATACCCTACACTACTTTGCTAATGTAGAAGAGCCCCACATAACAATTAAAAGTTTTTATGGGAGAAATCAATCATACACGCTATGATAAAAGTTATAATTTAAAGTTCAGAGGACTAAATATGCCGAAGCATTTGTATCTTATAAATTCGGAATTGTATTGCCCATTTGGTGCACAATTCATTTGAAATTGGATAAAGATATATATGGGAGCTATATCCAAATCTGAACCGATCTCGATAAAATTTAGCAAAGATATTTCTGAGCTGTATTTGATATATTTTCCTGAATATCGTTGTTACGGAGTGCATATTACGGTTGCTGGTAACAAATATAACAAATCGGATGAATAATATATATGGAAGCTATAGCTATATCTGAACCGATCTTCACCAAATTTTACATACTAGCTTCTAGACTCAATTCGGTCGTAAGTGCTAAATTCCGTCCAATTTAGACAAATATTAGACGTTTGGTGCACAATAAAAGATAAATCGGACGAAGTTATATATGGGAGCTATATCCAAATCTGAACCGATCTCGATAAAATGTAGCAAATGTATTTCTGAGCTGTATCTGATATATTTCCCCAAATATTGTTGTTGCATAGTGCATATTACGGCTGCGGAGGGCAAAAATAACAAATCGGATGAACAATATATATGGGAGCTATAGCTATATCTGAAGCGATTTCGATCAAATTTGGCATACTTATTTTCAGGCCTAATTTGGTTGTATATGCAAAATTCCATACAATTCAGGCTGATATTACACGTTTGGTGCACAATAAAAGGCAAATCGGACGAAGATATATATGGGAGCCATATCTAAATTTTGACAGATTATCCAATTTCAATAGGGTTCGTCCTTGGACCAAACAAATGATTTGTGCAAAATTTCATCTGGATAGGGCAATATATGCGAACTGTACTTTGTTTACAAAAATACATGGACAGACCGACGGACGGACGGACGGACGGACATGCATAAATCGACTTAGAATGTGATTCTATGCAGATCATCAAAATGAACAATGGGTCTATCTCGTTTCCTTTTGCCTGTTACAAACAAATGCACAAAGACATAATACCCTGACAACCTTGTGGTGTAGGGTATAAAAAACGGAATGCAACAAATTTTGACTGACATTCTCTTAATATATAAAATTGTACTTTTCCAATAATATTATTGAATTCAAAACCCGCATTTGATAGCCCAAACTAGAGAAGGTTGAATTATTATACCCTCCACCATAGCATGGAGGGTGTATTAAGTTTTTCATTCCGTTTGTTACAACTCGAAATATACGTATTTGACACACCAAAGTATATATATTCTTGATCAGCATAAAATTCTAAGTCGATTTAGCGATGTTCGTCTGTCCAGCTTCCGAACGAAATTAAGTAAATTTTACTCAAATGTATCAAATATATATTAGGTGATTTTAGCGACATTATTACAAATTTGGTATTTGAAGTTCGTAAGCCTAAGATAGAAAATTGTCTGTGCAGGTCCACGTCTTCGAATAGCCCCCATATAACGGTATCTCCCGATAATCGGTATTTTGATGATTTTAGCGACATTATTCACCGGAATTGTTTCAAATTTGATATTTGAAGTTCGTAAGCCTAAGACTGAAAATTGTCTGTGTAGGTCTACGTTTTGGTATAGTCCCCATATAATGGCACCTCGCTGTATTCGGTATTTTGGTGATTTTAGCTACACTATTTACCTATTTTTCAAGTTTCGCATTTGAATGTTGCAGTTGCTTGTGACAAAAGTTGCAGGTCCACGTCGTCGTATGGATTAATATAACGGCCACATTCGGTATTTTTAAGATTTAAACAGAATTTTTAACGGATTTAATTTTTTGAAAATTGCCAAATTCGTTCCAAACGGTGGAGTGTATTCAAAGTTCGGGCCGGCCGAACTTACTTTTTTTTCTGATTTTATTCGCTTCCACTTTTTAAGAATGCTGTTAAAATAGGTTACGTTCTGTCATCTAGGACATTTAATGTAACAATCTTTTCGCTATATTATGAGAAATTTAGATTATTGAAGAAATTATGTTTTTCAAAAAATATCCATAATTTTTGTGAGAAAATAATGTTCTATAGAAGTACACGATACTGTCAAAACGTGCCTCAACGAAATAACGGTTTTAGATCCTAGGTCTCTTTTTGAACCAAATCCGCTTCAGGACATTTGGAGTCGATCTAGGGATGTCCGTCCGTCTCTATGGCTGGGTCGCACGATAACTCTGGAAGGGAGTATTTGATTTGGTCCAAACTTTGTACATCGTAATATCCTTCGCAAAAGGTAAAAAAATTCACAACAAATAAGTTACCTTACACAACAAGAAAGGATTTGTGAACATTTTGCAACTGCTAATACTTTTATCAGTCCTTGGTAAGGTGAGAAAATGTGCAATATCGGCCCACGCCATCAAGTACCTCCCACAAAAGGTCAAAATTTTGAAATGTGAAATATGAATCCAATTGTCTTCAATCCTTCCGCACAAGAGATTACAATTTTCTTTAACAATTATTCGCATACAATTGATAATAAATGTTCTATTTTTTTAACTTTACTCATGCCAATAAAGAGTGATTTGTTAAGAGCTTGATAACTTAAAAAAAAAAAAAAAAAACGCATAAAATTTGCAAAATCTCATCGGTTCTTTATTTGAATTGTTAGATTGGTCCATGACATTTACTTTTTGAAGATAATTTCATTTAAATGTTGACCGCGGCTGCGTCTTAGGTGGTCCATTCGGAAAGTCCAATTTTGGGCAACTTTTTCGAGCATATCGGCCGGAATAGCCCGAATTTCTTCGGAAATGTTGTCTTCCAAAGCTGGAATAGTTGCTGGCTTATTTCTGTAGACTTTAGACTTGACGTAGCCCCACAAAAAATAATCTAAAGGCGTCAAATCGCATGATCTTGGTGGCCAACTTACCGGTCCATTTCTTGAGATGAATTGTTCTCCGAAGTTCTCCCTCAAAATGGCCATAGAATCGCGAGCTGTGTGGCATGTAGCGCCATCTTGTTGAAACCACATGTCAACCAAGTTCAGTTGTTCCATTTTTGGCAACAAAAAGTTTGTTAGCATCGAACGATAGCGATCGCCATTCACCGTAACGTTGCGTCCAACAGCATCTTTGAAAAAATTCGGTCCAATGATTCCACCAGCGTACAAACCACACCAAACAGTGCATTTTTCGGGATGCATGGGCAGTTCTTGAACGGCTTCTGGTTGCTCTTCACTCCAAATGCGGCAATTTTGCTTATTTACGTAGCCATTCAACCCAAAATAAGCCTCATCGCTGAACAAAATTTGTCGATAAAAAAGCGGATTTTCTGCCAACTTTTCTAGGGCCCATTCACTGAAAATTCGACGTTGTGGTAGATGAGAAGTCTATTCATGATGAAATGTCAAAGCATACTGAGCATCTTTTTCTTTGACACCATGTCTGAAATCCCACGTGATCTGTCAAATACTAATGCATGAAAATCCTAACCTCAAAAAAAACACCCTTTATTTTCATCAGCAACCACTATAACTGGTACCTCCTGCACATTTCAATATTTTTCGAAAATTATATAAACTGAAGGAAATAGTCGAAAGTAGGAGTTAGGTAATATTGATTCACTCTTACATGCACCTTTCCTGTAAGATGTAAACATTTAAAAAAAATAGAACAATTAAAATTTTTTTTAAGTGAGAAATCAACGCCCTACTTCAAATTACCGATTTTCCCCCACAAAACCAATTAAAACAAGTAAGCCAAGGCTATATTAGTGCGGGGCCTACCATTTGATATTCTACTCTGTTACCTTTGGTTTTAGACCGGCGGCATTTGCTGATAGGTATTCAAATAATTTCACACAAAAGTTGTCATTCCGAGTCGATTGGTTTTCAATTGCGACCTGTAAAACGCCTGAACAATCAGGTTAATTTGATTACTTTGGCACATTTGAACCCCTAAATATACATCTCCCTAATAGGCCTTAATTCTGATTTTAACTCTACCCTCATGCAAAATTTCATGAGGATCGGCCTGAACATAATACCCTCAGCACATATTGCTGCTGGGTGAAGAAAAACTTTAAAAAATGTAAAATACAAAATTTTTAGTCAAATTGAAAAAATCACATGCGATAAAAACTGTGACAAAAATTGAAAAAAAAAAAATGTAACAAAGAATATTCAGTTTTTATACCCTACAACACTATGTGTTGGGGGCTTAGAGCTTAGGGCTAGGCAGAAGTCTTCCAATTTTAATGGTCATCGGGTAATATTTAGTGGGTGAAATAGGCACAACATTTGTGTTAAATAAAAGTCAAAACCGCGAATATTTTTAATCCCGGCGAAATCACAAATAGACAAACAGGTCAATTCTGACCGTTACGTAGATGCCGATAGTAAATATATCGGTTATATATATCGAAATGTATACAATGTGTATATGCAAAGGAAAGGGATGTTAGTTAGAATGCTTATATCTCCAGAATGGCTGGACCGATTTTGACAAATTTTGTCAATGCAGAATGCTCTCTTGACATAAAAGTATAAAATCTAAAAAATCGCAAAAAAATATGCCAATAATGATGTTAATATAGATTTTGTAGTATTTTGTGAAATTTTTTTCATATATTTTATCGCATGCGATTTTTTCAATTTTAATTTTAATATTTTGTAATATTTTTTCACCTTATATTAGGGGGTTGAAATGAACCAACAACTAAACATTTTCCTGAGTTTGAAGCCGTTATAAAGGTCACAAATAGAAACCAAAGGACACGAAATCTCGCACAAAGCTAGAGTTTAGGACAGCGGGTA